GAGGTGTGGAACACCTGGAACACACAGACATGTATACACCTCCTGGAGTGGGAATGAGAGATGCTTTAACACCTGCCAATCTCAGTGATACACTTCTGTTCAGATGAACTCTTTAGATATTCTGATAGTGTGAAATAGGATGGATTACAAATTTTCTTTCTTTCTTTTCTTTCTTTCTTTTTTTTTTTTTTCCGAGACAAGGTTTCTTTGTGTAGCTTTGGAGCCTGTCCTGGAACTCACTTTGTAGACCAGGCTGGTCTTGAACTCACAGAGATTCACTTGTCTCTACCTCCCGAATGCTGGGATTAAAGGCATGTGCTACCACCACCTGGCTCAAATTTTCTTGTAAATATTACTAAAAAGCAGACTTGCTGGATAGCTTCTAGTTTTTACTTAACAATTTAATATTTTCTAAATTTATTGTGAGTTTCAAAGTGCAACCAACATTTACAATGGCCTAGAAATTCCAAGTTGAAGAGGTAAATCATTTTTAGATTACTCATATAGTAAAACTAATTTTTCTTCTAGTACTAATTTAGCAATTATGAATTAAGTGGCTTAATATGTACAAAAGCTTTACAACAATGTCAGGAAATGCATGTGCTATTATTGTTGCTAACAATCAAGAATTAATATCACTTAATAAATTCTTTCTATTTACTATTAAGATATGATAGGCTAAACAAAGACTTCAACCAAGTCCTTAGAATATAGTTGAAATAAGTATCTTATAAAGAATGTAGGGTAAGATAGGTCTTGGAATCTTTTGATTGGTTGTTAAATATATAGCTAATTGGTTTAATCTAATTAATTCTTCAGAGTATTGTTCTTGAAGTTCCAAAACTTTTGAAGCAATTTAAAATTATGGCTTAAAAAAATCTACAAAATTCCCCAAGAGCGAGAGTATTTAAATGACTTTACTAAGCCTTAAGAAAATTCTTTGGAGAATTTCCTGGACCTTAAAACATAGCAGTGTGAAATGTGCCATGTTCTTGAACAGAGCTGCTCAATATTTAATGTTCACCATTTGAGTCTGAAGTATCAACAGCAACTATATTCCCGTTGGAAACATATTTGACTGCCCTAGAAAGGTTTGAAGTCATTTAGAAATGTCTTTTGTAAATTATCCATGTCAATGTTTTCTAGGTAATTTGTCTTGTTACAGCAAAGCTCCAGTAGTAATTGCTTCTTTAGGAAGTCATCAGACTCATGGGCAACTTTGTATAATAGACTGAAAGTCATGGGAAGATAGTCTGCTGTGTGTCGAAAACTGGGAGGTAAGTTGACTCTCCTTCAGAACATGCCAATCATTATCAACAAAAGAGGGTGTCTTTATGAACTCAGTTGGGATAAATCTCATGCTGTGTGGATGGGGCATTTCTTACTAGGGAGAGTGTCTATTAAATAGGAATAAAAATCTTCAGGAGAACTTTCTTAAATATAGTTAAAATTGAGAAAAAGTTTTGCTACCTCAAAATCCTGTCATTAGAACATTGAAGTCAAATGAATATTTAGGTCTATAATTTCTAACTGTGAATTGGAATTCCTTTGGTGAAAGTATAGTTAAACTGGTTCTTACTTCATTACAAGTGTCTACACATCTAAGAGAACCATCTCTTTTTGTTCCAATGAAATTGTCACACATTCGCCAATGGACTTGTTCTCTTGATCAGAATATAAGGTGTCTATACATCTAAGAGTACCATCTCCTTTTGTTCCAAGGAAATCGTTGCACATTTGCCATTGGATTTGTTCTCTTGATCAGAATGTAAAATGGGATGTTGTATGAAGTTCAGTGCAGTGACTTACTTCACAGCAAAAATTCAGTTTTGTTTGCTTCAGGTTTGAAACAGATTGTCGTATCAACAATGAACGGGCAGCATTTTGCCTTGTTTCCTGGTCTGAATCATCTACCTGTGAAGGCTACTTGGGATGCTTGATTTGCTCTTCAGTACATCTTTGAGTTGTGGGGTGATGGGAGGAGAAATGGAACACTGACTCACTAACCAACAGGAAAAAAATTGACTCGTGTTTACATGAGGCTGAGGGAATGATATTAAATATTTAAGATTCCCTTTTGTTGTTGGCAATGCATTTCTGTGGTGGCTGGAGATGTACTATTTCTGGACACATCTTAGGTTACATTTTAGATGAATGAACTGGAGTAGCTTCCAGTAAAAAGTGTCAGCCTGTGAACTTCTTATTTAAAAATGTGGAATTTGTAGTAATTGTCTAACACTATTCACTGTAAAGTAAATGGACTTTTGTAGACTGTATCTAACTCAATTCATAGATGTGATGTAGGTTTACTATGTTAAGAGGGAACAAGACACCTGATAGATAAAACTTAGATGACACTATTATAGTAGGGTAATATTAGGAAATATAAAATAATTCTGAAGAATGAAAAGTTGACTAGAGCTGAAGGAAACCAAAATCATTCTTACCATACACTGTAGGCTTTATGTGTGTATTGCTTTATTTTCTCAAGAACCCAATAATAAGGGCATTAAAATGACCATGTTATAGATGAGAATATTAAAACTAAGAGATGAAAATTATCCAAAGTCACAGAGTTCGGAAACTGCCAAGATAGCACTTAGATGCATGCTCTTTTATGTAGACAAAATCGACTTGGCTTTATAATAACAAATTGAATGGTGGCAGTGGTTAGAAGAAGGATTATCAGTGAGATTACTTTTCAGATATCATGTACGAGGGAATTGAGATTTGAGAGACTTTGTTTATAACATAGCTTCAAAAGCATCTGGGATTTAGATACAAAGGAAACATGCACATTAAGCTTATAAGAGAATCTCAGAGTTTAAAGGGTAAAGTTGATTGAGTTAAGGATGGAATTGAAAAAAAAATACCCTAATTGTGGCCAGAGGCCGCCAGAAATAATTAAAAAGGTGGTTGAAATGGTACTCAATTCAGATCTTAAACTTGTGTCATTTTGTGAATAAGGAGAAACAGTCTGTTATGTGCTGTTTGTTTCCAGAAATTAATTTTTATTTCATGCATTAGTTAGAATACTGTCAATGGATTCTCTGTTCATGTACAAAACTATCACTGGATTTTTTCCTTTGTGTGTGTGTGTGTGTGTGTGTGTGTGTGTGTGTGTGTGTGTGTGTGTTAGTATGTGAGGGAGACATAAGGGAGAAGTATGTCTCTAAAAGTGAAAACAAAAACAAAAACAAAAAACAACTGGCTCGTTACATCCTGAGGAAGGACTTTGGAGGCAATGGTCACCATTCCTGATTTCTGCATAATTGCAGTATATGTTCTTCTGATGAATCACTCAGTGAGAAAGGTCATGAAGCTTTCATGTTGGTGGATGTCTCCGTAGTCACAGACTTTCCTTTGGATCCCTTAAGATGAGACCTGGGTAGCTACCAATTAAAAGATGCTTGCTTTAGAAAAGGAGAGAGTAAGCTATAGGATGGAAAGCAATATATATATCACATTTATGACAGAAGACTCATACACACAGATAATGTATATAGAATGTACACATATGTGTGTATGATGAGTAACTAAGAAAACTCAACAGCAACAAATTTGAAATAGGCAAAATATGCAAACATTTTATTAAAAATGAATATAAATGGGGCAAAAGAGTAAGGAAAAATGTTCAACATCAGTGCTCATTGAGGAAATATAAGTAAAATCCTTTATGAGATCTCTCTATATACCCATTAAAATCAATTAAAAGGTGCAGCTGGCAATACTAAATGCTGATGAAAATCAGAGCAACTGATACTTTTACACACAAACGATACAGCCACTCTGGAAAACTGTCATCTTATTGCAAACTATGGTATGCACTTCCTATGAGATTATTATCCCACTACTGGATCTTTACCATAGAAACCTGGAAGTTTAGCACACAAAACCCAAGGCTCAAATATTTATGGTAGCTTTATTCATTACTGCCCCCAAATGGAGGCAATTCAAATGCCCTTCCAAGGATGAATGGGTAGATAATTAGTACCTTTATACAATAAAAAGCTACCCCGCATTTACAGCTTGAATGAATCTTAGAGGACTTTGGTAAATAAGAAGCCCAACGTGGTTTTATTTTATGAGATTCTGAAAAGCTGGAACTTTCCAGACAGAAAACATATCCATGTTTAACATGTTTTAGAATAGGCAGAAGAGGCTGTTAAAAATGGAGTAGTATAGAAGGGGACAGGTTATGGATCTGTGATTTGGTCATGGTGGTAATCACATGCATCTATAAATGCTTTAAAGTTCTTAATTGAACATTAAGAGACTAAACAGTCATTTTTTTGCATGATGCTTAACTGTATGCATTTAAAAATGAAAAGGATTCTATCTTCTATCCTCTAGTGCCTCCCCCTGTGTCATTTACATTTTGACAAGATTTCCTTTTATTAGGCTCCCTTGAAATGGATCTGGTTTTTGGGTAACAAGGCACTCTTTGTGGTTATGTTCATTTCTGGCTTTGTCCCTGCAGAGTTATGTGCTTCTTTTGGTGTTTTTTTTTTTTTAACTGAGAGACTACTGTTGAGTTCTTCTGATGGAACCCAATTTTCCTTTCAAAAATAAAAAAAAAAAACGTATCTGTGATATAACTCATTCTATATTGCCTCTATGTTCACACACAAAAAAGCACTGGTCATAGGAAGAGAGGCTTGAGTTTGAGCCTAGGCTTTGACATACACCCCGTTAGCTCTATTGTCTTTTAAATGGTAATGTGGAGTTTGAGTGACACAGTCTATTAAAGACAAGCTGTGGAATCCTTAGCTCAGAACTGATTATCAATATGATAATTTATCTCTCATAGCTCTCTCCCTACATTGCTTATTCTTGTTATTTCTTTCTCCTTTCACCCTCTCTATCAATTTTAACACCTTCTTTCATTGAGTTTAATGCAAATTTTCATACTATTGAACTGATATATTTGAACCTGCTTTAGTATAGAATATGCCATTTAAATTTTTTTGAATTCTTACAGGTAAAAGGGAGATAATACAATGGAATGGGAAAATCGAACTGTTATGGAGGAATTTTTTCTGAAGGGGCTTTCTGGTTACCCAAGGCTTGAGCAACTCTTTTTTGTGCTCATCTTAATGATGTATGCAGTCATCCTCACAGGCAATGGTACTCTTATTATCATCAGCATTTTTGATTCTCACCTTCACACCCCTATGTACTTCTTCCTGGGGAACTTGTCCTTTTTGGACATCTGCTTCACTACCTCCTCCATTCCCTTTGCCCTGGTAAGCTTTCTCTCAGAAAGAAAGACCATTTCCTTCCTTGGCTGTGCAGTGCAGATGTTTCTTGGTTTAGCCATGGGGACAACAGAGTGTGTGCTCCTGGGTATGATGGCTTTTGATCGCTATGTGGCTATTTGCAAGCCTTTGAGGTACCCTATCATCATGAGCAAGAGTTCCTATGTGACCATGGCAACTGGGTCCTGGTTTTCAGGGGTTGCAAACTCTGCAGTACAAACTGCATTTGTGATGCGACTACCTTTCTGTGGAAATGTCATCAATCATTTTCTCTGTGAAATCCTGGCTGTCATGAAGATGGCTTGTACTGACATCTCAGGCAACGAATTCATCATGGTCGTGGCCACAACTTTGTTCACTTTGATGCCACTGCTCCTCATTGTCATCTCGTACTCGCTAATCATTTCTAGCATTCTCAAAATTCGCTCTGCCGAGGGGAGAAGCAAAGCCTTTTCTACCTGCTCAGCCCACTTTACTGTGGTGATAATATTCTATGGGACCATCCTCTTTATGTACATGAAACCCAAGTCTAAAGACACACTCAATGTAGATGACTTGGATGCTACAGACAAACTTATATCCATGTTCTATGGGGTGATGACTCCCTTGATGAATCCTTTAATCTATAGCCTCAGAAACAAAGATGTGAAGGAGGCCATAAAAAATCTGAAGAGAAGGTTCTTAGGCAAATGAATGGTCAACATGTTGGGCACTGTTGAAACTCAAAACTTAATTGGAATTTTAGTTCCTTTACTGTCTTCCTTGACCTTTTATGCATTATGCTAACATTTTTGTAACAAGATACAGCATTTCAAAATTATTGCATGCTCATAAAGAATTTTCAAGGGTCGGAAAGAATAAGGGAGAAAACAAAGTAACATAGCATTGAGAAACAACTACTTTTTGACATTTTTGGCAGCATCTTCATAATTCTGTATTGTTTTTTTACAATATTAGAGCTGGGCATATATGGCATTTTTACAAACATAACTTCATTTTACAAGCAATTGTTCTTCAAATCCTTCCATATAAATAAGTCTGTGTTATGAAAAATGTGAAACAGAAAAATCTGAAAGGGCTCTATCAATATTTTCCTTTGGAGAGTTTTCTGTTGCAGTATATTAATCTCAAATTTTTTAAAGTCACAAATGCTGTATCTTTTCACAGCATTTCATTTTTTCCTGTGGTACTCTAAGGATGCTGAGAGTTGGGGCTATAAAGGAAACAGATAAATAGGATTTATGGGTACGGTCTATACAACCAAGGAATCTGTTTTTAAAAAGTCATTTCTTTCAGCTTTATGTGTTAGCTTTATCATAACAAATATACAAAAGTTTTTAAGTTTCCCTTTTAATTTTAGAGAAAGCACTATGAAACATTCATGGCCTACATTTAATTATTTCTACATTCCATTATAGTTATTTACAGATTAAATCTGCTGGCAAGGACAGAGACCATCAAAGTGTCAGCTCCACAACCCAACACAATAGGCTATATATAATAAAGAAACTTAGTTCTTGTACATCAGGCCCTAATATCCACCCCCCCCCCCACAAGAATTCTACAAATTAGGCACTCTGTGTCTCACCACAGGCCAGCCTTGATACCCAGGCATTAAACCAAACACCACAGGGCTTAAATCCAGCCACTTCCATAAACTTTCTGGGATACATATATAGCTTTTAAACATCACATTTATACATTTTGATAGAAAATTAATTAAAGAAGAATACATTAAAGCATACATTTATCTTCAGAGTAGGAGACCAAGAAGTTTTTTTTTTTAAAGAATGGCTTGCCACTCCCCTTAACATGTTCATGTGTTCAGACATGTGTATGATTACAATTCTGGTTTACTTTAATACCATAAATACAGCATTTGAATCTTCAGAGGGCTTTTGATTATGAAGATTTGTTTCAAAAACTCATTGAGAATGACCTGGTTGTATTTTTAGCAATGTTTTTTTCTAACTTGGGAGCATAGTCAGATGAGCTGGTACAGAATGTGAGAGGCTGTGTGTAGTCAATCCTTGGTTAGTATAAGGTACTAGCCCTCCAGGTTTTGTGGAATCTCATAGCAGTGTACCTCAGTAGCATATCTAATATGACTGATGTGGGTCCAAAATGATGCTTAATCACTGTTCATAGAAAAGCCCTAAACCAGCAGAAGATCTGAACTTAATTGGTACATAAAAGGAGATGGGTTTGACATTAACATTAATTTTCCAGAAAAGACTTGTTGTGAAAGCCTGAAGATTTTTCTTTCTGTTTCCATAGAGATAACATTTGCTTTACAAAATGGATGTGTTTCACATTTATAGCGTGAAAATAACATTTTATCTTTGATATTATAAAGTACTTTAGTAGATCTTGTAATTTAAAGAACATGTTTTTCACCTTTTTGAAAAAATCACTTCCTAAGTGAGGTTGGATACTATGCAGTTAGGTTTTATGAATTTGAAATTTTGTGGCGAGGTACCCAGTCATGAATAAAAGAAAGAACTATAATGTGGAACATGGATGTTCAACTTGGAGCCAGGTGGTGAAATACTGACTTGGGTTTGGGAAATAATGATTGCCTGACATGATATTCTACAAGAGACCAGGCATGTTCAAGTGTGGCCGTAGACACAATGTTCTAAGTGTTTCCTAATTCAACCAGAGAATTGTTTAGTTGCTTGAGTAAAAGAAGTGAGTGTGGGTTTTTACAGAAACCACTCTTGTGGAGGACCAATTAATAGGAGTAAAATTAGTATGTCCTTTTAAAAATGTTTGTAAGAATAAGACGAGAAGACAGATAAAAAGATGAATGAGGCACCAGACAAGGAAGCTCAGAGGGTGATTATCATCAGTGCTGTGTGTATCTTCAACTCGTGACTCACTTGATCTACACATACAATCTGCCCTCTTTATCCCCAAAATTATAAAAGCACAAGGTCAACCAAACAATATGATATTCTAGCTGCTTATTTTCTGACTGTTTTAACCCAAATCAACTTGAAATTAAACTGCATACCATTATCCACTTACAACTCAGTGATTCTTCAACTGAATATAAGCTAGTTCTGGACAGTGATAGTCAAATTTAATGCATCATTTCCAGCTCTTATTTTACTTGATCTCTTTGTAGAATTTTATGTCTATTTTTGTATCATCACTGCTATAACTTTTGTACATATATTATATGATTCTAAAAGTGATATCTGTTACAAGATAACCTAATACTACAAACTGTACAAAGTATAAATTAAAATATGGGGAGACCTTTATGTAATACATGTATGTATAATCTGTAAATATATTATGTGGCTTTTAGATGCAATAGTATCTAGAGACTTATAGAGGTACCCATCCAGAGTACATATATAATACGTATCTTAAACTAGTCTATATTTAATATCTACTTGTATGCCATTGGTGTGTTTCACTCATAATTGTTTTCAAGGTATTTATATTTATGTGCCTTCATGTTTTGAAGATTTATTTGTCATTCTCTGACAGTTCCACATGTGTGTTTAATGGGTTTTAGTCATCCTCACCCCTACTGCCCCATCTCATGCCTGCTCCTTCCCTTGCTGAAACTTTCTTCTCAGCAAGTACCCATCCTAGTTTCATGTCTTTCTCCTGTGTGACCCACTGAGCTTCAGTAGGATTTCACAGGCACCTTAAGAGCTGTGTGTTATTTCCCTGTGTGGATACAGCAAAGTGTATGCAGCTTCGAGGAAAAAGAAAAGTTTGTATGATCTTTTTAGGTGGACATGTTTGGCAATTTTTTTTGTTTCTTTTTATTGAAAATAGACTTTTGTCCTCATATGACATAACGTGATTATGGTTTTCCCTCCCTCTACTTGCCAAATTCCTCTCCCCTATCCCCAATCTACACCCACCCCCTTTCTGTCTCTCAGTAGAACATAAACAAGCTTGTATGGGATAATTAGAAAATAAAATAATAAGGTAAAACAAAAATTAACACATCAGAGTTGGACAAAACAACCAAACAGAAGGAAAACGGCCCAAGAGAAGGCACAAGAAACAGAGACCCATTCACTCACATACCCAGGAATTCCATAAAAACACTAAACTGGAAGTCATAATATATATGCAAAGGACCTGTAGGGTAAAAAGAGAGAGGAAAACTATATAAACAAACAAGGAAGAGTCCTGACATGCTATTATGAGACAGGAACCTCCAAAGATGCTGTTGAGTTCTTTTCTGTTGGCCATTTCCTGGTGAGCATGCAGCCAACCCTTAAGAGTACTCTGTTTCTTCAGTGAAACTCCCTTGGAGGAAATTAAATATTTATCCAGAAGTGGTTATCAATTGGAGATGGCTTCTGAGTTAGGGATGGGTGTGTGTGTCCACTTCTCATTCTCCTCCTCTTCTTCTTTTCTTTTTGGTATTTTGAGACATGATCTCTCTATACAGCTCTGGCTGTCCTGAACTCACTATGGAGACCATGCTGACCTCCAAGCCACTGTGATCTGCCTATCTTGGCCTCCCAGGTGCTTGGATTAAAGGTGCATGCCACCATGCTGGCATGTTTGGCAATTTCATAAATTTCAGTACTGCAGGGCTAATATGATGCTACTAAATTCGTCAAAATCAACTTTTTTGTGTGCAATAACTTATGAAGTGGAAGTATTAAGATTATTGGAAAGAGAATGAGATCAGCATAAAGGATTGGGATGGCTGGCAACTGGGACTTAATAATCTAGAGGGCAGCCATCAGAAACATCACTTTAAAGGTAACATTGAGTAAGGCCTTGTAAGAGGTTTAGGCATAAGGATTTGAGAGGAAATAATCCAGGCAGAGGGAAGATTTTGGGCAAAGGCACAAGGAGATTATCCCTGATACATTTGAGAACTTCCAGTAAGACCCAGATGGCTGACACAGAGTCAACAAGGGGAAAATGGTTGAAATCAGAGAGATATAACGGGATTGAAGCAGGGTGTACATGCTTGGAGAAGCCAACTCAAATGCATTGCTTCATGATATTTTCCTCTACAAATTCTTTGAATGACTTCTGATGCCTTTGGTTTGATTCTTTATGCTTTGACAATGTTGAATAGCTGTCATCATATGTATCTATATGTATGAATTTAAATATGGAAGGAACTTTACATAACATATGCGTGTATAATTTGTAGATAAATTACATATAATTTTTGTATGTACTAGTATTCGATGAATCAATAAAAGTATATTTTTAGAATATATGTTTATTACATATCTTAAAGTATTTCATATTCAATATTCAATTTTATGCAATTGACATTTTCACCCAAAACTGTTCTTTTTTAGGGTGTTTATATTTATGCACAGTGACAGTTAAAGAGGTATTTTTCATAATCTTGTGTGGAAACACACACAAACATACACACACACACACAAACACACATACATATCTATTCCTTAGAGCTGATGTAATTTCCTTAATCTTTTATAAATTATTCTGTATCATTTTCTCAAATGTATATGCAAAATACTCATAAAGAGATAATTCAGGCTCATACTATATCCTAGTATACATTTTGAATAGTAAATTGGAAAATTGAAAGTTAGATTTAGTAAAAGACAAAACTTTGGTGATGGTGCTTCTTTATTCTTACTTAACTAATTAATTAATTCTTCTCTCATCTATTACATCCTAACTGCAGTTTCCTCTCCCTGTCCTCCTTACAGTCCCTTAATCCACCTCTCCTCTCCCTCAGATCCACTCCTCCTCTGCTTCCCTTCCGAAAAGAGCAGGCCTCCCAGGGAGCAGACAGGGCATAACATGTTATAATTAGTCTAGGAACATACCCTCATATCAAGACTGGAAAAGGCAACCCAGTAGGAAAAAAGGGTCCCAAGAGTTTATATTTTGTTGAATAATTTGAGGAGT